GGAGGAGGAGGAGGAGGAGGAGGAGGAGGAGGAGGAGAGGATGAAGAGAAGGAGGAGGAAGAAGAAAAGAAGAAGAAGAGGAGGAGGGGGAAGAGGAGGAGGGGGAGGAGGAGGGGGAGGAGTAAATGTTACAATTGCCGTAAAACACAGAAAGAGATTATGTGGGGAAACCGCCTTGGGTGGGTGGCTGCAGCCAGCAAAATGTTGAATTCCCTTTCTCCTTGCCCCAAGGCCTCAGTCCAAAATGGGGCTTTGCTCTCCCCTCCTGTCTTTTACGAAGAAATAAAAACAGTTACAACTCAGATGTAGCTGCAGCTGAGCCCTTCTGAGAAAGAGAGTACAGAAACGAGGCCTGCAGTTTGGCACGTGTCTCTTACACGCTCGCCCCTTCCCCTTAAAAGTCTTCCCCTCCCTCCCGCTTGGGATCCACGGTGGCCAATCTGGCGTACCACAAAGTAAACAGCAAAAGTTCCAAGGATGAATTTACTCCGGTCTGACACAAAGAAACCACAGCCGGAAGCTGGCCCAGCCTGATGCGAACCAAGCCAGGAATGCACAGCTGCTGAACTGCCTGTGGTCTTCCACAAGATCAGCTCTGAGCTCTTAAACATCGTGGCCTCTGCCTCGATGACCCAAAATGGCCTCCCTAGGGCAGATGAGCAGGTAGAGGTCAAGAATGGACAGAATCAAACTTTGGTAAAGATTGCTGGTTGTAGTGGAGGTGAGTAGAAATTGGACTCTCTGCAATGGTGGAACAGTGTCTTGGCAGCTATCTTTACCTCTTCCAGAAGTCCTAAGGAAGAGGGCTTTATTATGGTTAGTTCCTAGCTTATTCCCAGGGTAGAGGGAGGGAACCAGGAAGAACATTATTGGCTACTACTGCTGTTGTTGACATGCCTCTCCTGTGAAATCTGGAATGATGACGAAAGCAGCCAAGAAATGCCTCCCTCTTCCTCCTCTGGTTTGTAGCCAAAGATTCCCAGACTTTTCCAGCAAAGCTGAACTATTTCCCTACCAGTTCTGTGAGTTCCAAGTCTTCCCAATCCTTCATATTTGTCAGGGATATCCCAAGACATGAAGTGGAACTGCGACCGCCCACGATGGTCGCACGAGGAAGACTGCGATCGCCTGCAGTGATGCTTGTGCGAATGGGGTAATAACTGCCCACGAACTGTCCTTTAACCATCATCCCACCTCTGGGGTCTGAAAGGTCCTTATTCTAATCTTTCTGTGACATCACAGAAGTCCAGCCAATAGTTATGGCGCAAGGCTTTTAAGCAAGAGGCATGTTTGCAGCTTTGCCATTGAATGAATGAATGAATGAATGAATGAATGAATGAATGAATGAATGAATGATCCATCCATCCATCCGTCCATCCATCCATCCATAAATCTATACATTTTTTGTCTAGCTATGATCTATATCTGTCTATCTGTCTAACCATCTGTCTCCTATTCTATTCTATTCTGTTCTGTTCTGTTCTGTTCTATTCTATTTCTATCATCTGCCTATCTTTGTCATCTATCTCTATTTATCACCCCTCTCTCTCCCCCCCTCCCCCCCCTATGTGTGTGACTCTATATGCTTTTTCTCTAGCTAATGATCTATATCTGTCTGTCTGTCTGTTTGTCTAACCATCTGTCTGTTTCTCTCTCTTTCTATCTATATGTATCATCTATCCCTCTATCGATCATCTATCCCTCTATTGATCATCTATCACCTATCTATCTATCTATCTATCTATCTATCTATCTATCTATCTATCTATCTATCTATCTATCTATCTATCCATTCATTCATTCATTCTGTCTGTCAATTTAACTATCTAGTTATCTAGTTCTAGTTCTTGATATGTTTTAGACTCCAGTCCCCTAATCATCCTGGTTGCTCTTCTCTGCACTTTTTCTAGAGTCTCAACATCTTTTTTATAGTGTGGTGACCAAAACTGAATGCAGTACTCTAGGTGTGGTCTTACTAAGGCTTAGTATTAGTACCTCACTTGATCTTGATTGTATCTCTCTGTTAATGCAACTTAGGATTGCATTGGCTTTTTTGGCTGTTGCCAAACACTGCTGGCTCATATTTAGCTGGTTGTCCACTAAGACTCCAAGATTCCTGTCACAATAACTGCTATTGAGCCTGGTTTCACCCAATCTATATGTGTACTTTTGGTTTTTCTTGCCTAAGTGTAGGATTTTACTTTTCTCTACATTAGATTTCATTCTGTTAGATAGGGCCCAGTGTTCAAGTCTGTCAAGATCTTGAGCCTGTCTTCTAGGATGTAAGCTATTCCTGCCAGCTTTGATAAATTCCCCTTCTATATTTCCTCATCTAAGTCGTTTATGAGGATACTGAAGAGTAATGGGCCTAAGACAGAACCTTGTGGCACCCCACTGCTTACTTCCCTCCATGTAGACTTAGACCCATTAAGGACTACTCGCTGAGTACGGTTTGCCAGCCAGTTGCGAGTCCATCTGGTGGGGATGCTACCTATCCCAATTTCATTGAGAAGTTTTTTGTTTTGTTTTTTTACATTGGGGTAACCCGTCCTGCCCCTTTACCTAGCCCGCTTGTCCTCGCTCCAGTGTTGATATCGGCCACTTCTGACTCATCCTTGATGCCGTAGACCGTAAGGCTGTATTTGGTACTGGGTGCGAGTCCTTGGAGGGTGACGGAGCGCTCGTCCCCAGGCACTTTAACTTCTTTGGCTGGCGTTTGGCCTCTTCCCAAACTGTCTTTCCATCTCACAAGGAAGGAGTCAAATTCCCCCTCTGGGACATCCCAGCTGAGCTGCAGAGTCGTGGATGTCACTTCAGAGACCACAAGATGATCGAGCAAGGGAGCTGGAGTGCTGGTGCTTTCCGAGAAAGCTACAGGAGAAAGGAATGCAAACGGGTGACGAGCCCACAAGCTGGAAATTAGTTCAAATTAAGATAAGGTAACATTCTTTTGACTCCCAGAGTCAGTCTTTGTGACTTGTGTTTTGGGGTCTGGTGGAATAGCAATAGCACTTAGATTTATTTATATACAGCTTCACAGTGCTTTCCAGCTCACTCTAAGCAGTTTACAGAGTCAGCTTCTTACCCACCCCCCAACAGTCTGGGTCCTCATTTTACCGACCTCAGAAGGATGGAAGGCTGAGTCAACCTTGAGCCTGGTGAGATTCGAACTGCAAAATTGCAGGCAGTCGGCAGGCAGCAGAAGTAGCCTGCAGTGCTGCACACTAACCACTGTGCCACCGCGGCTCATAATCACAACATTAAGTGAACACAGGGACTCAATTCTCACCCTTCTCCCCTCCCAACTCCTCCATGTTCTTAGGGGTTCAGGTGAGTTTCTAAGTGGGGTTTTCAGGGATTGAGTACTGAAATATCTACAAGGAGCCCCT